ATGTATTAAAAGGGGTCGTGTTTAGTCACTATTTAGTGTGGTATTTTTTGACAATATTCACTCATCATGACAGTAGAATAGGGCATTCTAAGTCAATATACTGCAGTATTTCTTCTCTCAATCATTAGAAAATATGGTTAACACCCGGTCATGCATGAAAAAAAAATACCGTCATATACCGTGAAACCGGTATAATTTTGAAAAATACCGTGATATAAATTTTTGGTCATACCACCCAGCACTATGTAACGTAATCTTAATAGTAGCTGAATGTGTCACTTTTATCTCTGTTATTTATCACTTTTAGTGCTCCAGTGTGCTCTTAAACTCTTATTCATTTTGCATGTTTCTCTTTATTTTTCCATCCCATTTCTCGCTGTTCTCCTACACTCTTAAAAATCAAGGTTATTCAGTGACATCTCTGTAAAATCCCCCATCTGGAACCTTTATTTTTAAGAGTGCGTGTGTCTTTGTGTTTTATCTGGCAGACTGTATAACTGATTGCTCTCTGTCTCTCTTGTTTTCCTTCACTCACCATTTTCCTTTGTTCTTTCTTAGTGGGCCTCTGTGTTGTGTCGTGTGGCGCTGGAGCAGGAGCGGATGTTGCCGGTGATTCTCGACCTGTTGCGAAACCCCACAGATGCCGAGCTCCGTTCTCTCACAGGTCTGCTGAGGAACCTCTCCCGACACTGCAAAAACAAAGCTGATATGGGTTAGTGAATGACTTTCTGCTCCAGCTCTCTGGCTTTAATCACATCTTAATGTGTAAAACACCCCAGCCAAGATTTCAAAATTCTGGCAAAAAAAATGTCTAAATCAGCAAAAACCTACATGAAGTGTTGTGCAAGGCGATAACTGAAAAACCCTCTGACAATCTGTATTTTTATTCTCACTTCCCAGAGTGCACCGTTCCCCCTCATAGTATTAAATGGAATTCTTACACATTGTTTTTACTCCCACACATTCTTTTCAGCTCCCATCAGACTCATACTTGTGTCATTTCCAGTATCCGCTGCCGCCCGTTTATCCCCACCCTGACCTCAGTTCTCTGCTTCACTATAATCCACCCCCGCTGGGCCACAGGACGCCCGTTTAGTCACACTACACACATATCATTCACTGTTTTTGTTTGTGCAATTCCAGCTAAATTTGTAATTGCTTCCTATCCATAGCTACCAAAGTGGTGAATATTCTTGTGAACAAACTCCCCAGTGATGGGCATCAGAAAGAACCTTCTAGTGAGGTGGTGGTCAACATCTGTGGGGTTCTCAACAACCTGGTTACAGGAAGCTCTCTAGCTGCGAGAGATATCACTTACTTTGATGGACTACCCAAGCTGGTCAGCATTAAGACATGTCATGACAACAGGTTGGGGAAAGTTACTTTTAAAAGTAATGCATTACAATATTGCGTTACTTCCTAAAAAAGTAACTAATTACGCTACTTAGTTACTTTTTATTGAAAGTAATGCGGTACGTTACTTTTGCGTTACTTTTTATATCTGGGCTGGGCCTGCTTGTTTGCTTTTAATATAAAAAGTTCTGTTTTTGGCAAATATAAAAGCCCTTTCACACCAAAAGCCTCAGGCTGAAGGAAATGTAAATTCACGTCTGTAGAGTAGAACACAGAAGAAGAAGGTTCAACACTCTTCAGCAATAAAAAAAAAAAAGAAGAAATGTTAGTTTATCTTGTGGAATTTTTGCTTATTAGTGTGGTAGCAAATTGGTTAATAAAATGGGATTAAATACATAAAGGATATTTGTATCCCTTACAGAAAAACCACATGAATTTCACATGTGCAAAAACACATGTGGTCACATACACATGTGATTCTGCACATGTGAAAACATGTGAAAATCACATGTGAAACATGTGCTTTGCACGTAGGAAATGTGTGCTTTACACATGGGAAATGTGTATTTTTGGAACATTTTCAAACACATGAGATCACATGTGAAACACATGTATATTCTAATGTGAAACCCATGGTACTTTCCTATGTGAAACCCGTGTGAAACACATGGGATCACATGTGGAAAACGTGAAATTCTTGTGGTTTTTCTGTAAGGGATTATTTAACATATTTAATTATTGCAGCTTTGAGTCATATTCTGAGTTGCTTTTAACTGTTTTTATTAATTTTTATTAAACTACATTTTTTTTTTGTGAGTGAGATGAATTAATGCATGTTCACATTTATTCTAGAACTAAAGTAACATCTTACTCCTGATTTCTCTCAACATGGGGACAGGAGAGCTTTCAATCAATAAATGGGAAAAAAAGTAACTGGCATTACTTATTTGAAAAAGTAACTCAGATATTTTCTTGTAAATTAAAAAGTAATGCGTTACTTTACTAGTTACTTGAAAAAAGTAATCTGATTACGTAACTCGCATTACTTGTAATGCGTTACCCCAACACTGATCATGACAGTAAATGCATTAATAATGTTACTAAAAAGTTTTATTTCAAATAAATTCAGTTCCTATGAACTTTCTACTCCTAAAAGTGAAAAGAGCAAGACGTACTTAAAAGCTGATTGGCTTGAATTGTTACCTCTGCTAGTAATTGGTTATATATGCAAAAGGAGAAAAAAAAGAGCATGTCACAAATGTGAATATTTTCATTTGTGAGTAAAAGCTACATCTGGCTGAATCTGGCCAAAAGATGGGATTGGAGGTGCTAGTGTAAGAATTGGCTTTTGATAACCCATATTTATTGTCCACTATTCTGAATATTGGATCTTTTATGGAGGCCCCCCCAACGTTTATGGTGCTTACAGCCCTGTTACTTTAAACCTGAAGTGAGAAAGTATCATTTCTTTGACGTTCAGCTGTGACCCAACTGATATGATAAGAAATCAGCAAAGTTTCTTGAATGTTCAGGCACAAATCATACTATAAATGATCCGTTTATATTGGACCTCACCTACCATCTCTCATAGCACTACTGTTGTAATATAGACTACATGCTGTTGCATTATTTAGCTGTTTAATCAAGGGCACAATGTCCCAGCATTGCTTCTCACGTTTCTCCCTTCTTATTCTGTCCCAGTCCTGGGAAGCTGAAAGCCGCCAGGGCCGCCTCCACCGTTCTGTCCAACATGTTTCAGTACACCAAACTTCACAAAGATTACAAACAGGTGAGTCTCAGTGTAAAACCCAGCTAAAAAAGCACAAATGACTGTGTAACTGTTCAGAGTCGCAAGTAGTAGGCGTGTGCCAAAAGCCTCTTCTCTGTAATTTGATATGAAAATGGATACCTTACTGTATACAGACTTTGCACTGATGGGTATTGAGTGTATTTGCTTACCAAGTATCAGCCTGCTTGGCCAATGGTCAACTGTTTTTTTTTTATGGCAAGTCGATAAAAATAGGCGGTTACAGTGTATGAATAGCTCAGTTAAGGATACTGTAAAGCTGTTCAGATGCTCTCCTAAGTGATATCAGCTCTCTCAGTCAGTTATATAACTGAGCTGGAAAAATATTTACCTACAACCCATTACTGATTATCAGACACAACACTTCTGTCTTTTCTGTTTTTACTGTTAAAATGACTTTTCTTTTCTCATGTCTTTAATTATATTGGAGCATGTTTACAACAAAATGAATTTACTCAAGCAGGACTGTAAACATCCCCCCCCCCCAAAAAAAGTATCATGGGTGTCAGACATGTCATTTAACGGTTTTGTTATATTAAATAGTTAAAGCCTAGTCACATTGACTAGTTACACAGAAAGATACTGTTTGACTCATATGTGACTAACCATAAGTCCTTGTACAGCATGATATTCAAATATAAAATTAATACCACAATAAACTGAATGAATGTGCAGAAAAAAATAGCTAGATTTTGTGATCAGAATGTGATCGGAAGTACAAATTGGATTATATATTTGTACTTCCGATCACATTCTGATCACAGAATCTAGCACAGGTATACTCATAGATATCTAGTAGTAGCCTAAACAAAACTTTTTGATTCCAAGTACCTCACAAACTGTACAATCCGGTGATTTTATTCTTTCTTGGAAGCACTCATTGTTGCAGGCCAGTACTTTGTTACCAAATAGGCTTTTTTTTTTTTTTTTTTACCAGCTCTTGCCATTTTTATGTGTAGTGTGCATCAGATGGTCAGTAAATGAACTGTGGGCAGTTCATGTGTTTGCGGCTAAGACTAGTTAAAGTCTGTTGCCTGTCTGTGGTGTTCAGAATGTCATTGGTCAGATGTGAAATGGTCCATGTGAAATGTGATAGTGGAATGCATGATGTTCCATTTTGATGTAAGTTTGGGCAACTTCCTTTCCATCACCTTATACAATGTACCAATTTCAGCATTATATGACTACTATCTTTTATATTTAGCCTGTTATATACTACCAATTTAGAATTGCTACTAAATTCTCTTTTTCTGTTTTTTTTTTTTACAGAAAGGGTTCACAAGACGAGATTTCACAGATATGACCATCTAATCTCTGTCCATGACTTAGTGCTAAACTCATTGGACAAGATGGCATTAGACGTCCATGGGATTTTACATATCTTTACCACCAAAGTCACAAGAGAAATGCAATCAGCCTATTTCGCTCAAACACACAAACACACACACACACACACACACACACACACACACACACACACACATATTGTGACCTGTAGTGGAGTGAGTGAACTCTAAAGTTTTTACTAGAGTATAAATTATAGCCAGCGGCACCCTTAAGTATTACAACATGCCGGAGATATAGAAGCATGCTTGCAGAGCACTAAGTCTAACAGACAGGCCGAAATGCACACTTGTGTGTGTGGTTGAATGGTTAAATTAATGATATGAACCTGAGGCCTGTTTGAGAGAAGGCAGCGTATAGACATGAAACATTAACAGCCATTAGTTCCTTTAGCAACACCTTACTCCAAAGACTAACTCATTTTCATCAGACCTGCTTCTTTTACATAGATTTGAAATATAAGCCTGTCCAGCTTATCCAGCTTATCCTAAATATATATTTTTGTATTTTGCACACAGAAATTCACAGTTTAAAGGCTATAATCATGAAGTCTAGAAAGAGACACTGAAATGAACTGTGAACTAAAATGTTGTAGCTGTTTACAACTAAAGAAACAGATTTAGTTGGTTTTGCAATAAATATATGCAATTTTTGCTTTCCATGTAACACTGCTGCAGGCTGTTGTGGTTGTTACAGTTATATTAGCCTTGGATTTTGAGTGCAAAAGTGGATATGAATGACATTATATCTGAAATAAACCTTTGAAGTTAAGTATCTTGTTAAAGCCTTACTCTGAAAGCACAATTATGACAAACGTATTGCCATATGAAATAAATGCATATTTGAACATTTGTATAAGTAATTTCCAGAGAATTGTGTAGCAAAATTATTTCCTGCCTTGTTGTGTGCCACTTGCAAAGACTAAACAAATAACCACCAATGATTTTGATACTTTCTTGAAAAAAAATCAATTCTCAAGTTTGATGTGCACGCAATTTTATTTTCCACCTCACACAAATATAACACATGAACTACATTGCTTTCAGTTTCTTGTGCTTTAATGTACTTTATCTCCTTCCCTCTCTCCTTTTCTTCAGAATCTCCCTCTTTCTGCATCTATTGAGTCAATCCTTTTTTTTTTCTCCAGGGGAATTTTAAGGGAACTGATACAAAAAAAAAGTATTGTGCATGCTTACCTCTTTTCTTCTTTTTTGGAAGGCTTCTTGAGGCCAATGGCTGATAGGTTGGAATTCATTATGGGTCAGTGTACAATTGTGGTCTTTATTTGAGTGCATAGGAACATCCTGAGCAACCACTGACCAAAACGGCTCTCTCTTCAATATAGAGACAGAATTGTAAAACACTGACAAAGAGCTTTGGCCTAACTTTACTCAGAGAGACAGAGTTCAGTGGATGAAGAGAGGGAGAGAACAGAGAGTGCAATGTTTGTTTTTAAAGATCTTCTGCCAAGCATTTTCCTAACAGAGAACTGGTTCTAACTGTTTACTCTCTAAACATTAAAGACAAAAAAATCTCAAAGACAGAAGTAAAATTTATCTGCAAGAGGAAAATGGTCATTTAAAATGAAGATTAAGACCTTTAATGTCTCTAAATTACAAAGGCACTTCACATTTTATGCATATCTGGTTTAAGTGGTATGAGCCAAGTATATTTGGCTGAACAGAGAAGCCCAACGCAGCCACAGAAATATGCACACATGAAATTACTCAGTTCCATGTGTGTGACCCAGCAACACTTAGAGGAAGCAGTGGTTAAAAAAAGTACTGTAAAAAATCTGCCGTTTTATATAAAAAGAGTGAATGCATACATTCCATTACAAGATGAGACACATCTGTCTCATCTCACTTCCATATATCTTCAAATAGTAGATAAAAAAAAAGTAAGATATATTGATATTTTAGGAAGATTTATGAATATTCCAAGACGGCAAACAACAAGGAAAGAACAACAACATCCAAACATTCCATTTACTATTATTTCTACTATTAAATTATTGCAAAATTATGTAGAGGGAAGTAACCTAATATAACTTGGCTTATCTTAAGCAACTGAGAGAATAAGACAAAACACATTGGTCAAAAGTAACTAATGGAATGTCTTTGTGCAATAGAAGTTATCATTCTTTGTCTGAAGCAGCACAGCAGTGTAGACATGCATGTCTACTGACACTTTATGGAGGAAAAAATGTTGACCGTTTTATTTCAACTTAAACATTTATTTCACCCCATTACTTCATTCCTGGAACACAATTAATGAGTACATTAATAGGACCGTATCAAAAATACAATATCAAAATATATTTATATTTAATGAGAACGACAGTTGTTTAGAAAGCCATGGACAGCACTGTAAAGAGCATAACACATTTCTTACTTCTTAAAAGTAAACACCAAAACATATAAATATATCCTGTTAAAATATTCTTCTAGGCAACATAAATCATCATAAAATAATTTTTTGGCCAACAAAATTAATGGATACTTTTAGGCTTGTTGGACTTTTTCATACTAATAAACTGTTTGATTTTACATTTTCACAGGCAAAAGGCAAATTTTCTTTCATTTCTCAGAAACAATTTATGATGCAACCAAAAAAAATGTATGGTGCATCCCTCTGAAGCAGAGCAAATATGACTCATCTTGAGGGAAAACTGTAAACTGCAAAGAGAGCAAAGCTCCAATAATGGCTCTCAAAGTAGTGAAGTGAAGAGATACATCCCACGTATGGATGCAAGTGAGAATGATCCCAGTCAAAAACAGAAATCTTCAGTGTGTAAAGTCTTGTTGTGCACATGGAAGTCAAGTTTTCAAATCTCTGATATAAAAGAATCTGGTTTGAAACCTTCATCGTTCACACCTCAGTGCATCTGCTGTTATAGATTGCATTTGCTTCCCTGTTAGAGACAGAAAAACAAGAACAGTTAATAAGCACCACACTCTCTGTTGAGGCTTATAACTGGACTCCTAAATATTTTAATATAACTTTACAACAATGCAAAGCAGTGAGAAAGAGTTATATCTCAGTCACATGAAAATACTTACTGAAGTTCCTTTTTCAGTCTTCTCAGTTTGTCGTCTAGCCTGTCGTTCTTCACTCTGATGGGACTGTCAGGTATAAACCAGGCAGCGATAAATTTGCACATCACCACTACATGCTGAGTGGAGAGAAGCACAGGAGATCTCAGACAATGTTTAACCAAAAATCAACACAGTAACGCGTTAAAAGATAAATAAAACAGAAAGTTAAGTTAAAGGTCCCCTGAAATGCTTAGAAACACGCAGCATTACTCTGTGTGTTGACGTCATTTGAACTGAAACAGTAAGACAGGGCGGGGACATATCAAGCAGCCCCGCCCCTTTTTAAAATAGCCAATAGCGTTCGTTTATATCACCGCTTGGGCTAGAGCCGTTGAAGTTGAGCCGTTTTGGCGGAAGTGACGAACTGCAAGCTTTGAATGCTTATATCTTCTAAATGCGAATTGTGTCACTGTTTTGAAGCACACTGCCTTATAGATAACCTTAAGACTAACATATTGATACTAACACCCAAAAAACTTTCATTTTGATTTCATGGGGACTCTAAATAGCTCTAATATTTGTACCTCGAACAGAATAACAAAGGCAAAGCGGAGTGCCAGAATGAGCCAAAACTGAGAGGTGAGACTCTGGTCTTCATCATTGCGGTAGTCTTTGTAACTGTAGAATACACAATACACATTCAATGCAATGACACTGTATGACATGAAGCATTCCCTTATTGAACAAACCAATCAAGTTCATCTGCATTATTAAAAGGTACATCAAAACCAACAAAACAAGTGTCACCTGCACTGCGTAATATTATATCCATTCACTATCAAATCCTTGAAGTCCTCTCTCACTTTGTCATTGGACATGAATGCTGTTGCCAGAGTGTTGTTGATGTATCCTGTCATACAGCTATCAGACAAAATAAATGTACTCATTACAGCAGTAATCTAGCGTCATATATACGAACAAACTTTTTGATTTGACACTTCTTTGCCAATAAGTTGTGGTGAGATGAAAAGGTGGAAAACACTGTTTGTTTGGTTTACTACTCACTCCATGCTTGTACTATTGCTGGTAGCACAAGGTCCATAATGATAACGATACACCAGACGGGGAATGAAGTCAGAGGAAATCCCAATCACTAGTCCATTAGCAATGACAGCCATCACCCCGACAGCTTCTAATATTCTAGTCCACACACCTGCCAGAGGAGAATACATGGCACAATGTGTTTACTTGATGCTGAAAACTGACGTACACATCATCATCACTGCACAAATACAGTAACTATTCACCGATGTCATTTGTCTTTTTGGGCACTAGGCGGCGCTCAAGGCTGACCATCTTGATGGCATCCAGTCTGATCTCAAATATGTTATTGATAAGAGCCAATAAGGGAGCCAGAGGGAACGCAGCCACAAAAATAGTGGTGAAACTGAACTGAAGAACTAATGACACAGAGAACAGTACAGGTTAGTGGATGACTTGTGAACATTACCACAAATAAAGCATGTGGCTTTACTGTAAAGTTCACTCAAACAAATGTCAAAATATAACTAAAATAAATCTTTGCAATCCAAAAATGATATTACAGTAAACAAATTGGTTGTTATTGGTAAGTCAGCGGTGCTGTAAAACTAGTTTGTGCTGAAAACAGGTAATCGAGAGAGATACGAACCCATTTCCAAAAACTCATTAAACAAGCTGAAAGCATTAACATCATTCAGGTCGTAGTTGTCCAGCCAACTACGAAGCTTGCAGAGGTCACATAGGTTGAAGTTGCCCTCCTCCTCTCGACATGCCTTCCGGTAACAGTTACCACACTTTCTGCGCATCTTCTTGGCTTTCGTCCGCCTAAAACAGAGCTTTAACCAGCTGTGGCCACAAACAAAGGAAAAGAAGCAGAGATAGAAAATGAGAGCGAAATCCAAGAAGTCCAATAAGCACTGTCATTTTTTTCTGCAATCTGGAAAAATATGAGGATTTTATCTTGTTTGGTTTTAGTGCATACAGTATTTCAGAAAACACTTACGGCACTGTGAACTCAAATATGTTGTTGATTGTTTGTTTGAGCACCAGAATAACAGCCATCTGGATGAAGAGGTCTGTAAGGCAGCCACTTGGATGACACTAAATCAAAGAAATATTTGTTTGCAGTTAGATTAGAATCACACTTTGAATAAGTATCTGACAAATGCATAAATATAGCTAAATAAGCATTTCTAAATATAAATGTACATATAATGTACAGTAATACTGGCATGACTTTCACCTCTTCTAGTCTCCATTTTCCTGCAATTCGAACATAGTTTCCTGGATAGCCATTGATCCTAAGTACAGCATAAAGAGACACTTTGAATAGCCTGCCATAAGAGTAAATAACTACAAAAGCACATACGCACAATTACCTTCCTAGAAAGAACGCCACATAAAATAGAGATGAGAAGAGAGTAAAGAATTGAAATGTGAACATCTTCACTGTGAAGTGCTTCTCTGTGGCTGCAAAAGAGCGGGTCTTTTCTGCAAATAAACAGTAATTACATATTGGTACCAGTAGTTTGTCAGTTTATTAATGTAATTGATTTTATGTAAAAAAATATTTAATACCCACCAAACTCACACAGTTTAAATGCCACAATTTTGTTGACCTGAAAAGAAACAAATGTATTATTTTCTTCCAGAATGTTCATTAACAAGCAAATGTTTTATTCTCATTAGACAGTTTTCTATCAGTACTTACCCGAGTCATAACCTGAATAGTAATGTAGTGCAGCACTGCTCCAGATAACATGGCTATTGTGGTAGCATGATCACGGAAAAAGTCCCACTCACTTTGGGACAACAATATTGCAGTTAAAACACGGCAGATGACCAGAGCATGGGCCAGACCTATGATCACCACCAACTGAACACAATGAAGATAAGATATTATTTTTTACATTACTTGTTTATGTGTGTGTGTGTGTGTGTGTGTATATAGTAAAACTAAAATTAAAAAAAGTTTCTCACCACTAATGTAACCAAAAGAAGCACCACGATGCTGCGCAGGTAGGAATGTCTGAACTCTTTTGGCTTACACTGAGGGTTATTTACAATCTCCAAAATCAATTCTTCCTGTGGACAGATCAAGTTGTTTGGCTCCATTAGAAGATGCACATTAAATATGCTAAAAGTGATGATGAGAAAAAAGTAATGACCCTACCTCCTCCTCGCACCAGTCAAACACTTTCCACTTTGACACATGCAGAGCTCGATGTCTCTTCCACAGCTCCAAGAACAGGGTTGCTAGTCAAACAACATCACAGTACTTCAGTATCTATGTCATAGCACATAGGAATTTGTATTTCATTTTTGCTAAATGGGGAAAAACTCACCCCAAATTGCCATGAACATGGCAAAAGCCACTGTCCCTTCATTGTCAAATAGTTGGCTCACCTGTTTGTAAGCATTTACACTATCGTCAAGACAACACAGAAATGCACTGACAGATAATAGTGCCATTTATTCTGAATACACACTACCGTTCAAACGTTTGGGGTCAGGAAGATTAGTAAGACTTTAATAAAGACATTTATAATGTTACAAAATATTTCTTATTCAAATAAACGCTGTTCTTTTGACATTTCTATTTATCAAAGAATTCTGAAAAAAAAAATATTAAGCAGCAGAACTGTTTCCAAATCAGCATATTAGAATCATTTCTGAAGGATAATGTGACACTGAAGACTGGATAATAATAGCTGCTGAAAATGTAGCTTTGCCACCACAGGAAATTTCATTTTAAAATATATTAAAATAGAAAACAGTTATTTCAATTGTAATATTATTTCACAGTATTATTGTTTTTACTGTATTTTTGATCAAATAAATGCAGACTTGGTCATCATAAGAGACTTTTTCAAAAATCTTACCAACACCTAACTTTGAACGATAGTGTCCGATACTATTCAGCCCTTTTCAACACAATTACCTGTTGCATATATACACACAACAATTAATAGTGTCGAAAAGTACTGAATTATAATTAAACTGCGACTTGTTTATTCACTGACCTTGGCATTTGTACAGGTGTCAGACAGGTTCCACATGCTGCATCTTATGTCACATCTTGGACACATGGTGATGTTGGAGTCACAGACTTCATGACTGTAAGAAAACACCACAATTTAGAGATAATTGGGTGTAGATTAAAATCGGATTAGTCGGTCTGAATCTGATCTGTCATCTGTCTCTACACCTCAACACTCACGTGAATCTCTTTGCTCTAAATATACTCACATGAGCGGACTTGTATTGAAGAAGGCAAGGCCATACAAGAACACAACAATACCAATAACAGCTGCAGGGACGAGCATGCGCGTGTACCAGCCCAGCCACAGGTAATACAGTGCCACTTTCTCCCCGAAATAGTCCCTAAAAATTACATGTGCAAACAGACAGTGTTAAAAAAAATGATAACGATCAAGGTAGAACAAGATAAGATAAAACAAGGAGAACTTACTTGATATCAGTCACAGGCTGTTGAAAAAGCTTCATTACTGCAAACCAGCTTGCCCACTTCTTCCTTAGTTTTTTCTGCTCTTTTTTCTAAAGAGACGAGTCAACAATGTTTAACACAACTTTTTAAAATAAAAAGCTCAGATATTTATGATTTCCTTGTCTTTCAGCCCTTATTTGTTACATTCATCTACACTGAAGCCATTTACCTCATGCAGACAGAAGATGGACTCAAAAGCACCTTGACACAGCAGGTCTCTAAGGCCCTCTTGCAGTGTAAAACAGTCGATAGAGACATTGATTATATTAGAGAGGCTCAGTCCTCGTCCCTTTAATATTTCTTAAAACAAACTGAACATGGATGGGTGTTTCTATTTATTTCTGAGGCTTTTTAATATGTGCTTAAGCAAACACTTTTAGATTCAATTTAGTATCACGTTATACCCATTTTATCTAAAGCTGTTTTGGTAGACTAAGTGTTTGAAAGGCTTAAAGATGAAAACTAAATCTTACAACCAGTTTGGGGTAAGTAAGATTTACTTAGTTTTTGAAAGATATAAATACATTTATTCAGCAAGGATGCATTAAAGGGATATAGTTCACTAATATAGACTAAATGATGACAGAATTTTCATTTTTGGGTGAACTATCCCTTTAAATTGATCAAAAGGGACAATAAAGACATTTATAACGTTACAAAAAAATTCTTCAAATAAAGGGAGTTCGTTTGAACTTCTTATACATCAAAAATACGAGAAAAAAAATGTATCACAGTTTCCACAAAAATATTAAGCAGCACAAATGAATTCAACATTTATAATAATATGAAATGTTTCTTGAGCAGCAAATCAGCATATTAGAATGATTTTCAATGGATCATGTGACACTGAAGACTGGAATAATGGCTGCTACAAAATTCAGCTTTGCCATCACAGGAATAAATTACATTTTAAAATATATTAAAAGAGAAAACAGTCATTTTTAATGTTAATAATATTTCACAATATTACAGTTTTTACTGTATTTTGATCAATTAAATACAGCCTTGGTGAGTATAAGGTATTGTAAGTTAGTTTTAGGTTCAGAATAAGACAACGATGGGAAAAAAAGATGAACTGAAAGTGAGAATGAAAGACAGAGAAAGCAGGAGCTTTGCAAGAGGAAAAGTGTACCTCCTGATCCTATAAACGTATTGTTCAAGACAAAGTGGACAATCCGGATTCTATGAAACATGGAAACAGAAACCAATTACAAAAGCTTTGAATGGAACAACAGATTTCAAATGCTTACTGTGACCCTCACCTGGTGCAGAATGAGACAGTCAAGTCACACTTTTGCTCTCCGCTCCAGTTACAGGCATCAGACACCTTTAGCAAGTACTTGTACTTTGCAAAAATCTCCTCAGGTGCACAGACACCGAAGAACACCTTTCCAGCATGTTCAATTTTCTGTTGAACAATCACGAGAGCCTTGAGTAAGAGTTCAATTTAACTGACACAATACTAGTGCGTGTGACAGTGACATAACATACAGTCACTTTAATGTTCTTCTGTTTCAGTTCGCAGATAAAGGCATCCTGCTTCTTGAAGATTTGGTCCTCCATATCCTCCATTTTTTGAGCCACCAGGACATAGTCATATAACCGAGGAAAATATAAGTTACGCTGAATGAAACAAATGCAGTAACAACTAGGTTAAGACTGAAAGAATCTGGTTGCAGGCATACTGTACTATTTTTCTGTGAATATAAATTTTTGATCAGATGTTTGACTGTATTATTGCTGTCTGGTTTTGTGTCTGTGACTGTCACTTGGTTTTCTCAGGAAGTTTAGATCATGCAGGGCAAGTGTTGATGTGAATGTGGCATTATAACCACAGTGTGGTAAGATATAACATCAGCATGTGCTTTGCATGTGTATTTATCATAAGTGAGCATGTGCTTCTGTTGAAATACAACTGTGGTGACTGTGGTATCGAAGCCAGTTGGCCAACAAATGCACACGTCACATGGTTTCTTTTCCTACCTGTGAGGGAAGTAAAGGCTCATTTCCATTGTCCAGCTCATACAGAGCCACATCATCCTGCAATACAAAGAATAAGTAAAGAACATTTTATATGCATAAATTGTATAAAACAATGTTTTATTTTAGTGTACATGTGAACTCCCTCAGTCAGAATCAGAAATCTACATCTACTCCCACTGTCCCTCGTGTTTTGTGGACAGCAGAAGCCTTCTCAATGTATTCTACGTACTTGCAATAAATCGACTCAATCTCTTTAAATGACATACTGTAAAGAAAAATGTGCATTATGCAAACTGGCATTTGTTTGTGACGCCAACCATATTTCAATTCAAACGCAAATTTCTAATCCATTCTCGTGCAAGTTATTACAGTGACAGCCGGACATTAATACCAAATGACTAACCTGCTTTATACTGTAAAAAGCAAATCGACCATATTGTACAGTGGGATCCAAAAGACTTTTTTCATGCTTTTTTTTTTTACAATTAAAGGTATAGTTCACCCAAAAATAAAAATTGTCATTAATTACTCACCCACATGTTGTTCCAAACCTGTAAGACATTTGTTCATCTTCGGAACACAAATTAAGATATTTCTGATGAAATCCGAGAGCTTTCTGACCCTGCATAGACAGCTAGGGAACTACCACATTCAAGGCCAGGAAACGCAGTAAGGACATCCTTAAAACAGTTCATGTGACATCAGTGTTTCAACCGTAATTTTATGAAGCTACAAGAATACTTTGTGCGCAAAGAAAACAAAAATAATTACTTTATTAAACAATTTCTTCTCTTCCAGTCAGTCTCTGCCACCATTCATGAGAGTACCACAACACATGCGTATGATGCTGCTGAGCAGGAGCCGGAGTTCCTACGTAGAACCCGGATGCGCTGCACCTTGTTTACAAGCAGAGGAATGCACACGCATGCGTCTTGATACTTTTGTGAATGGCAGCAGAGACTGACCGGCATGAACGACTAAGGGTGAGTAATTAATGACAGAATTTTTGGCTGAACTGTCTCTTTAAGATTTTCACTCACATTGTTACGCTGACAGTATAATTTATAATTACACTTTTTTATTATTATAATTAATAATTATAATTTAATTTTATTAGCCGTGTCAGATATTTGGACCCAAGTGTATCTGGACTTCAGTGGAGCTCACCTAGGCCTACAGTCTTTCAGAACCCATGTGTTTTTATAGGAATCGAAGCCAATGGGATGGGAATTATATTACGGGATTATCTTTACTATTGCATATCTTTTATAACACTGTTGCTACTAAAAGATGTGAAACAAATCAGTCTAAGTTAAAAAAAAACTGAACTTTTTTGTCAAATTATATTTTTAAAGATTTCTTTCTTCCTGTTCTACATTTTACTTTCTCTTTGACTGCATCTATTACTGCTGGTGTGACAACAGGTCAAGACATGCCTTTGGGTAACCATTTATAGAACTACAAGTGTCTGAGTGTGTTTGTCGGAAAGACAGAAAGACTGAGGAACCACTAAGAACAAGGATTTTGATTCCTCACCTCTGCCTTACATAACTATTAACCGAAGTCACAATAATTAAAGTATGTTCTTGCTCTATGATGTTTAAAGAAGCAGCACAGCCTCATGACAAATAACCTGTTTAACCACAACAGCACCATTATTCATTCCGTATTTGCACACATTTTACGCAACACAAACGCATGATAATTTTACTCCGCCGCAACATCCATTAATAATGAGTCTAAAACATCTCATCCGTAATAAAGAATTTGTTATGCATCACACAAGATTAAAGCAATTAAATGCACATTAATGAGTTGTCTACGTAAACATGAGTGTATATAAACATATTTAGTCACAGCAAAGTCTCTTTTCTGAAGCATACACCTGAAAGTTCTCAGCAACAAGATGTTCAGGTCAGATGAGTGTTCCTCAGAGGTCCTTTTCTGTGGACATGAATCCCTCATAAATAACGTTGTTAAACCTGTCTGAAATAACTACACTACACACGTTTTAATAATCCAAATGAGTCATTCACTAAGCAAAAATAAAATAGTCATATCAAAAGTTTTCTTGCTTGACAGAAGACCGTAAACAAAAACATGTACCTCCCTATGGGATATACGGTTACTGTAACTTGCCTCTCTATATGTTGTGGAACATGTTACAGTAATATTAGTAGTGGTGAAAGCCAATGTTTACGACAGGGTGAGTGCAACAGAAACTGCTACTGCTGTCTACTGTACTGAAAATGATATATTTATATTTAATTTACTGTACACTTAAAATGATTAATAGCGCATTTCTCATTCTAAATAGTTCTAACTAAATACTCAGAAAACAGCACTAGTCCTTTTCCTTCACATGAGCGATCAAAAGTCTCACGTTGACCAATTAAATGGATAAACACTTCAAAATCAATTAGACAGGCCTTTACCTATGCACCTGCAACACACACACACACTGTACCTCTCGATCAGTGAAGAACATCCTCAGATCAAAGTTTTCAAAGCAGTTCTGTTAAGTTCAGGCAGACTGACGTCAGTGTCTCTTCTTTTATCCTCACATAGCCGAAGACCAGCTCTAACTAATGCGAGAAATTAAAACTAACTAGAGACCGATCGAAAGCAGTGTGAACTTCCGCATTTCCCGACTCATGTTTAAGAAATCCGCAAGCACGACGGTGTGCTCATGCCATTTACCTTTACAGGTGAGACCACAGACGTCATCGCTTTCTGTGGAAGGGCGGGGCTGAGCTTCTTTACTGTCGATACACATCAAACTTTTTTATAAAGGACACACTCGGTCCAAACGAAGACACAATAATAACAACATACAAAAACCACAATATCACATATTTACATGTGTACTAACACGCCAATGATTCCACATATTTGAAAAAAGCCTGACTGAACTTAGTGCCAAGTTCGTCAGTTAAAATTATACACGACTCATGTACATCAGTACTGATAACGTGACATCGAAACTTAACTCTGCCTTCTCCTTAAAACAGTTCACAGACCTTACTGCCAAAAGTCATTGAGCTCTGAATGTGTTATTGTTATAATTTGCCGCAGAGCTGGTCAGATTTTCACTCTGTAGTTTCAAAATTATAAGGCGCACAGAAAATACTTGCTTTAACCCCTGGAATCCGGTAAAGAAATATTGCAAAGTTTTTGCAAAGTTTGCTGCTTCAGTATTTGTAGATTATTTTCCCCACAAGTTTTAACGGCTTTTATTGGCAAAAAAAAGAATAAAATAAATTATATATATATATATATATATATAATATATAATATATAATATTAACCTCTGCAACTCGCTCTGGCATGCTGGATATTAGTTTCTGGGCCAAATCCTGACTGAGGGCGATCCATTCTTGCCTTGTTAGTTCTAGGAGTTGATCACAATTTGTGGGCTTCTGCTTGTCCACTCGCCTTTTGAAGACTGACCACAGGTTCTCTATGGGATTGAGATCCAGGTAGTTGCCTGGCCACGGATCCAAAATTTCAATGTATTGATCTTCGAGCCACTTCTTTATCACTCTTGCTTTGAGACATGGTGCTCCATCATGCTGGAAAATGGACGGATCACCAAACTGCTCATGGATTGTTGGAAGTCGCTCTTGCAGGACGTTTTGATACCATTCTTTATTCATAGCAGTGTTTTTGGGCAGAATTATGAGAGAGCCCACTCCCTTGGTTGAAAAGCAACCCACACATGGATGGTCTCTGGATGCTTCACTGTTGGCACAACATGGGACTCAGGGTAGTGTTCACATTTCTTCTCCGAACAATCGATTTTCCAGATGTGCCAAACAGTCGGAAGGGAGCTTCAGAGAAAATAACCCACACCAACCTGCTGCCGTTCCTGAGCAAGCTCTGCACTGCTGGTGACACGATTCTGTAGCCAACTCCTCAGGAGGAGACAGTCCTGGCGCTTGCTGGACACTCTGGGACGTCCTGAAGACTTCTTCACTGCAGTCAAACCTCTCTCCTTGAAGGTCTTGATCCGGTAAATGGTTCTTTCAGGTGCTGCTGATATGATTAGTCAATTAATGTTAGCTGATAATTTTGTGTCAGGATCAAAAAACAGCTAAATTTATTTTTTTGTTTAAAGTTCGTTTTATGGCCAATGAAGCTTTTAGCAATTATTTAAAATGCATCTGATCACTCTACACAATAATCTAGAAACAATGTGAAT